TTTTTACTTCTACTGAAGATGAATTATTAATAGAAAATATTCGATTTCACGAGATGATATACGATAGTGCTCATCCTAAACACAAGGATAACGTGATTAAAGAAGAATGCTGGAAAGATATTTCTAAAAATGTTTGTAGATCTGGTAAGTATTTTTTTCTTTTATTAACACTATAACATGTCTTTTAAWATTTAAATTAACACAGCATTATAATTTTTTATTTATTAGGTATTATAATAATTATTAATACATACTACTATTAATTACTACTATAATTTCATTGAAATGATACAGCTCCTCCATTCATAAAAAATTGCTGAAATGCATCCCTCACATTAAAACCGTCGGCATTTGAAAATCCACCTTCGCGTACAATTGAAATCATATTATTTATTGGTCTAGATTCTTCTGAGTCATAATTATAAAACACTTCCATTTTTTTCCAAATACCCTTCTCTCAACATATTATGAAGGCAGCAGGCAACAACTATCATACTATCACAAGTATCGGGATTGATATTAATCGTTTGATAAAAAACACGAAATACTTGACTTAATAGTCCAAATGCATTTTCAGTTACACGACGCGCTCGACTTAGTCGGTAATTAAATACTGCTTTTGAAGCATCGTCTTTAGCTGATTTCCTCGTGTATGGCTTCATGATGTATGTATGTAATCTAAACGCCTCATCTCCTATGATAACGTAAGGTAGTACAGTATCTGAACCAGGCAATGCATTKGCATCTGGAAATCCAAATGTACCATTCAAAACTTTTTTCCCCAAATTAGATTTCAAAAATATACCACTATCGCCTTCTCTCCCGTAAGATCCAACGTCGACTGCCACAAATTTGTTATTAGCATCTACCATTGCTAATAATACTATTGAGAAATAGTCTTTATAATTGTAGTACAAGGATCCTGTATTACTTGGGCAACGTATACGGACGTGTTTTCCGTCAATTGCAAGGATACAATTAGGAAAATTCCATTTCGTCCAAAATTCCTCAGATTTAACCTTAAAATCGACGGTTTCCGTATTGGGTAGAAATATTGGCATAAGTCTGACTTTCAGAGCTTCCAGTGTTTCTTTGACGATTTTGCTTATGTAGCTATTAGAAATTCGAAACGAAAATGATAATGAGCGAAATGATTCTCCGGTCGCAATATATCTAAATTAGAATAAATTAAAATTACAAATATAATTCTTCTATAGATACAAATTATGTTTAAGTAAATGAATTATTTAAATTATATTTATATTGAATGGTTTATATTCGCATATTATCATTGTTAATGCAATTAAATAAAACTTCGTGTTTTAAATATTTTAATTTTCCTAATATTTAGAATTTTAGAAAAATTTGTATTCTAATGTAATTTATTATAATATAGGTATTATTATATTAATATTATTATTATTAAAATAAACGAGTTGTTTAAAAGTATAAACTTTTTAAAATATTTTATGACAATTTAAATAGGTACTTGTTGAAATCAAATTATAAAAAAAAAAAATTTCTTTTCAAATCATTGTTAAAATCAACTTTTTATACGTTATAATATTTTATATAATTTTAATTACTTTTTCCAACTTTAAAATAAATTTTTTCAAATCTTTCATTAATTTATAAATCTTATAAATAACTTAGGTGCTATAATCATTATTATTTATTAAGAATATAATATAAACTATATTACCTCAACATTAATGCTAATTTTTTTTCAGGTGTAATCGGTTGTTGTACTCGATTGTATGGCTCAGAAGAGATATCATTTTTCACTAGTGACAAAACAAAATTGAACTGTTTTAAATTTAATCTAAAAAACTCTCGAAATAATTTTTCGTCGTTCAATAAGTGCCCTTTAATAAGTTTTTCGTAAAATCCTTCCTGTTCCCTCACTAAAAACATAGGTTTTGTGGATTTTCTTTTCTTCTTCATCGTTAAAAATTCTAACATATTGTCTTCGTCTTCCTCTTCTTCAAGTAAAGACATCAAAATATTATTAAAATTCACAACAGCTTGTTGTTTATTCATATTTGTAGGTTGTTTATTCATATTTGTAGTTTATATACAGTATACGTGCACATTCGTTGAAAATTCAAGAACTAATGGTTTGTGTTTATATACTTCTAAACTTCTTACTTTTAAGTCTAGTTGTATAAATATCATAACATAAAATACGTTCTAGTGATTCCTAAATTTCACTAGAAATAATATTAAATTATCTGTAAAATGCAATTAGGTAGATAATAGGTAAGTATATTTTATAGATAATTTTATATTGATATAACGATACACTTTATCAGTATTTAGGATCTTATTGTCCATGTATTTTCAATTTTTGGTGATGATATTATTAAAATACAAAAAAATTAAAATATAAGCATAAACATTCCATTTTTTATAATTCTATTTAAATTTACTGCGTATTAAAAGTGCCCGATGCAAATAAATCTAAATAAATGAGTATGGTCCAATGAGTTACATAATTTTTWACAAACATTTAGTTACCACATGTTTGAAATTGAAATACATTTCAGGACCCCACAAAAAAAAATTTRAAAATCCGCTACTGTAAACAAGCTAAACGCAACGCCAAGACGTATTATAGGAAAGCAATCCGGACGCAACGTCCAGACGTGATGTGAGACGCTGCTTCAGGACGTTGCGTCTCAACGCACCTAGGAACGCGTACCTTAACACAGATAACTGAATATTATAWTTTTTTCTTAAAACGAGACAATTCAGCATCCCGGAGGGGTAAATCGGAACAACGGGACATACTTTGAAATACAATAAAAGACGTCTGGCCACCTTAATAATATACCAATACTGGCAATACCTATTTTAACCAAGGTACCTATATTAAGTAGGTATTTATTTTAAAGTATTTTAACTTAGACAAGATTTTACTGGTACCCTCGTTATATTTGTAATGCATTATTTATACTGCTCATCTAAGCCTAATGCTTATTAATAAAAAAATATTTTAACCAAGTCTATATAAATTCAACAACAAATATWAAGATGACAACAATAAGAAAGTATACATTTTAGGATTGAGTATTTCTTAAGAATTTCAAAAAAGTTTTCAAAACAATGAGTATTTTTTAAAGATAATCATCTGGTATAAAGAAAAATAAACAATTGGTTTGAGAAAACATTTATTATCACCATAAAAGTATCTGTCAAGAAATTATAAATTTATATTAAGAGAAAGATATTAACAAATAATGTTTGACCAAATGCACAATATTGTTATTAATATATTATTGATAAAATGGCACAAAAATGACAAACATTTGGAAGTGTCAAGTATAATATTTATTTTTATCCATAACAATAATAACATCAATTATAGYCTGGTCAAATAAACAAACATTGCTCGAAAGTTGACACTGCACCAACATGTTAATAAATAACAAAGTTAGGTTAGGCAGGTAAGAGATCGAAATCGTCACTGACTAGAACCATCGGTACATGCTCTTCATCAATATTGGGTTCAGAGCTATAGGTACATAACTGTAATTCTTTCAACTTCCATCCCCAGTCCATTTTCTGTACAGCGTGTAAGCTCTCTGCCTCATTGTGATGTCTCAATAACATTGATTCCTATAGTGATCATAAAATATTTAAACATTTTTTATGGATAGTTATAATTAATGAGATTATTACCTTAATTTTTTCCCATTTATCATCAACATCTTGTAACCATGACAAAAAAAGACGACCATTATAACGAGATCGCGCATGTCTATCTTTCTCTTCTTCTTGCTCGGGTGTCATAATATTATATACTTCATCGTCCTTGAGTATAGTACATACAGAAAATGGTAAAAGCTGGTTAGCTAATGCACGAGCTGCCCTTCCATGAACCCTAAGTATCTCTTGTTCAACACTCAACACCAACTTTTCTTTTTCTACTATGTGCTAAAAAAAATATAAAATTATGGTATTCAGGTCATTATATTACATACTTTAGAAAAAAATTCAACCAAACACAAACCTGCACTCGAAGTCTTTGTCTCTCCTTTTCTTGTTCAACAAACAGCTTTTTCAACTGCTCGTGTAAATTGGCTGGTGATGGGGTTTGTGTATTTACTACACGGCTGTTAGAGTTACCAGCTAAAACGTATGTGCACCTGTTCATGAGATAGTCTTTAAATCCAGACGGTGGTTTTGGTTGCACAGGAAACAAATTTTTACGTCTCTTATCAATCTATAAAAATAAATACATAACAAAAATAACTTATCAAAATAAAAACAGAAATGAAATATATCATTCAACTAATTTACTTGTTTTCTGATGTTTAAAAACATTTGATAACAATTAGTTACAGGAGCAGGTTCACTGGTTGTGCCGGATKGATTAATTTCTACAGCAGTAACATTGGCGGCAGATGAAGTATCACTAGTCTCGGATTCCGTACGGCTAGCTTTTAATTTGCGTCGTCTTGGATGTAATTCTATGCCTGATAGTTCAGCAGTGGCTGTAGATTCAGATGTTGTAGTTGCTGTAGCTGTAGCAGTAGTAGTTGCCTGTTTGTCATCTCCAGAAACAATYGCCGATGCATTTTCAGACTGTTCTGAACGAGTAGCAGACGGTGACGGATTACTTGATCCTGCATCTACTACCACAGCAGCTGGTGAAGTAGTTTGAGCCACCTGTTCGTCGGGAACAATTGGAGAAGTACCACGACTTGGTGCACCACTACTGTTACTTCCGCATCTGTTTGATGACCGTAATACTCTAGTTTGAGGGGACTTTTGCTCTTCTACAGCTATTGTATCCGAAGCCACTTTCTGTGGAGACTTTGGCGAGTTAGGCTGATTGGATGCCGGTGGCGACTCTTCAGATGGCACTACATAGGGTAATGCTGTATGATGATGTGATCTATTACCATTCTTGCCATTTGTTCTTGTACCGGTATCAGCATCAGTAGTAGGTATCACAATTTTTAATGGAGGTACTTTAGGGCCACCTCCTGGACTGTCTGCATTAGAAGGCCCCGAACCACCAGACTTGTCCTCATCGCTATCAGGTTTAGGACTAGAAGCTTCATTTTTACCTAAAAAAACAAAAAAAAAAAAATAATTTTAGTAATTTTTTATCTAATAAAACGAAGATCTGTTATAAGTTAATTTATCACTGTCTGATCACTTTTAGGTTTCAAGAACAAATCAACAGTTCATTACAATAATAGTATAATAAATCATACATTATATGAATAACATGGTACAAATTATTAAACAAAAATACCGACATAATTTTAGCTACCTAAAATAACTTCTAAGTACATTCTACAGATTAATAAATACTTTATTTAGATGTATATTATTCATTACTTTTATTTAAAGATATATTTTATCATAATATTAATTTAAATGTTTAATATATTATAATATGGAAAATATATTATACTATTATAACTATTAGCCAACATTTTAGAATTTTTAGAATGCATTTTAATGTAAACAAATTAAGCTAATTTTAAGTTTTTCAATAAGTTCAGTATTTTACTTTTATAAAAGAAAATCAAATTGACACAATTTTTGAACATCATAATGTAATTTTCGAAGTAAATATG